GGAAGTTCTTGGAAGCTTAAACCACTCCCACCTTGAGCCATAGAGAAGGCCAATGGTTACTGCTTTGTGTAAAACTTTTATCTATTTCTATGACCCTAATCAGCAATGCTAGAGCCAGAGCATTGCTGATTGTAAGTGGCTATTAGTGGGAAACTTTTACAGCTCAGCAGAACAAGAGGAGAAAAGAGACTTGGGAAGAGAGGACTAGAGAAATAGTAGCTGGAGGGAAAAGCTGGCAGAAACTAGCCAAAATGTAAAAGATAAGAATGTAAGAAAAATAGGAAAATGAAGACGAGGAGGAAAAGGAAAGAATGAAACAACTGGAATTAGAGCTAAGAGATTACAAATAACTTGGACAAAAGAATTAGAATAGAGAACAGTAAAGAGAGAACAATAAGGAACACATGTATAGAATGAACGTGTCGTGAGAAGATTCTTTTTCTATAGCCCTCAGACTTAGATCCTACACTCATGGTGGTGCCTCGTTTTGAACCCTGAGCGGAGGCTTTTGAGGCAAGTGCCTTCAAAGTTTTTGATACTACCCCCATTTTCTCTATGGGTTTTTATCAAGGATCCATTTTCACCGTGAACTGTATTTAATCATAACTGCCCAAATGTCCTTCAGTTGGTGAGTGAATAAACTTAGATACATCCATTCAATAGAATACTATTTAAAAAGGACTAAACAATCGGACAACATGGATGAAGTTCTGATGTGCTGACTGAACAAGTCAGACTCAGACAGCATTCCTTTTAGGGAACATTCTGGGAAAGGTAAAACTAGAGGCCAGAAAGCCTGGCAGTTACTAGACATTAAGGATGGGTGTGGGAAAACATGGGATCATAAAGTGTGATGGATTTGTGGGAAAGGGAAGACTGTTCTGATGGTTGAAATGGTATCTGTCAAAATTCAGATTGGATCATGGAGAACCTAACTATATATAAATTTAAAGCACTTTTTTTAATAGCAGAATTTTTTTGTACAAGTTAGAAAACTTTTAAAATAAAATACAGCCTTGGTGGAAATGTGTATATGCTCAGATTCCACTTAGTGTTTAGTGAAAGAAAATGATTTTAAGTTATGTGCTGTCCCACCCCCACCGCTCAGCTCTGGTCACTAGAGGCAGGTTGCAAGACCTCCCAAGGCGAGGAGAGTCAAGCAGCAAACCTCCACACAATGTCAGAGGTGGTCGCTGGGGAGCTGAATGACAGCAGGCCCCACCCAGCTGGTACCCCCAGGCGACCACAGCCAGCTCACAAACGCTGCCAGAGGGAGGCAGAACACACTGAGCCTGCGCTGCCTCAGTCGCCACAATCTGAGACATTCGTTGCGAGCACGTGAGCGCCCCTTGCCAACCTCAGTGCACCCCGGGCGAGGCCCCGCGGGACTGACGTGTCTACCCACTCCAAGGCCAGGTTCAGTTCCTGGCTCCCTGTCCGGCAGCCCCC